ACATGGTAAAATCCTGCAAAAATAAATATAACTTTAATCCAAACATTCTGGTTAAATCCTACTTGTCTCATCGCTCCTCTAAAATAACAACCCTCTTTTTTTGTCTTATCATTTGAAGGGACGTAAAGAAGCGTCGGTCCCTGCATAGTTCAGTGTGCGTCTGTGTGTGTGTGTGTGTTTGTGTGTGTGACATGCAGGCGTGCCTCTACTTGGCAAGCGTCCTCCTCCCAGAGGGAAATTCAGATGGTGGGCGCGGCGAACAGGATCCCCGGGAGCGATCGGCAGTGATTAACGCGACCTACGCGGGACACTTTTTTTACCCAGAATCCAGAGCTGGAGGCACGAGTCCCTCGACGAAGATCAGGTCCCCGCCGACCGCGACAACAGACGTGTTTTTTTTGGTTAAATCTGCAGAAAACAACAACGTAAACACGAGTAGAGTTTAGCTTCCTCTCAAGGGCGAGCTTTGAAATCTGACTAAAGGAAAGCTGGAAAAACTAGAAAGAGGTTACGAAGTTCACTCCTCCAGAATGTGTGTGTGTGTGTGTGTGTGTGTGTGCTGATCGACACACACACACACACACACACACTCAGGATGAGCGAGGGAGGGACTTCAGAAGTCAGCTGTGCTTGTTTTTGACCACAAACACTATCAGCTGTGTTTGAGGACAGGAAGTATCGTCTGGATTCGATTACATGCGGCGATTATTAAGCCCCTTTTTATAATAACGGGGGAAATAGCGATTCATCGGGATGCGTCCGATCGATTCATTGTTGTTTTTCCCGAATCAGGAAAGTTGAAATGCGGCCGGCCTGCAGCTGATATTCTATCAGTGAGGTCATTGTGTAACATCTGGAGGGTCAGTGTGTGTTTGGACGTGTGTGGGAGGAGTGGAGGTTGTACTCTGGCATCGGTCACAATGACAGACTGGAAAGTGTGTGTGTGTGTGTGTGTGTGTGTGAGAGAGAGTGTGTGTTTTGAGGCTGGGAGTTTGGGGGGGGGGATTAAACCAGAAGGAGGAGGAAACGAGATATTTTTCCGTTTGTCTGGGTCTGGTTTTCACATTGTCTGCGTGGTGAGGCCTCACAAGTGTACACACACAAACACACACACACACGCACACGCGTGCACTCCTAATACCAGCAGAGGGGTTGGTCAGATAGAGGCTGACTCACAGAGCCTTGATGTCTTTTCTTATTCCTCACCGTGTCGCCTTCGCACTCCTTCAGACTTTTGGACCCGATTGTCTCTCCCACTCAGGCGTCGTTGTCGTGTGTCCCTGTCGTCACCACGGTGGGCGGAGAGTAAACACAGAGACGTCCCGCCTGCTGGCGTTCTCCCTCACATCCTGTTGTTCACGTCCGTTAACCCCCCCCCTCACACCCCCCGGGGCGAGTCCTGTTTAAAGAACCAGCTGATTGAATATATTCAGACAAACATGACGAGAGCAGCACACGCTCATGTATCTGATTAAGCACTTTGACCTTTGACCTGGCTTAGAGGGAGCATATATATATGGATATATTTATACGTTGAGTCTCCTTCTCCTCGAGGACGTCTCTGTGAGGTGATCTCACACATCTCAGTTCCTCAGACATTACGGAACGAATGATGTCAACAAGACGGACGTGTGTGTGGTGTGTGTGTGTGTGTGTGTGTGTGTGTGTGTGTGTGTGTGTGTGTGTGTGTGTGTGTGTGTGTGTGTGTGTGTGTGTGTGTGTGTGTGTGTGTGATGGAGTCACACATGAAGCCGCGTCATGTCGGCTCCCCGGACGGGGCCCAGGCGCGAGGCCTTGGAGCTAATCCCCCCCCCCGATAAGACCCAGACAGCAGGAACGCTCCGTCAAGTGTTCCTGTTCAGCATCACGGTAATCTGCTGCAAACATGTGGTACTTGTAGTTGTTTTGTGAGATTATTTTGGTCTTTTCTAGTCACGAAACAATCCGAAAATATTAAATGTCCCCACAGCTTTGATACTACTGCACGTATGGATGACAACTGTCAACTGCACTGTTATAACATGCTGAAAACAATGACGACAACACAAGTTCAAACAGTTGCAGAAGTGCAACGCGTTCGATGGTTTCGTTGCTAAACTCCTCCGTCCTCCGCGCGTCTTCTGGCTCGTTCCCACAGCTGCTGAAGGAATGTCAGCCGTTCTGCAGACAAAGTCTCTCCTCATGCACTTTCACACGTTGTCGGCATTCCTGCAGATACTCGCTGTCCTCCGGCTCAGAGCTGCAGCAACGGGGAAGCAATCGCATCGGCCGAGGCTTAAACGAAAAGAAAAGAAAAGGCACATTTATTAATATATATATACATTCATTTGCAAGGCAGTTTCAATGTGTTCCTCTGTAGAAGAGGTGCAGAGTATTCCCACCAAAACGTTATCCCTGAGTTATCAAGATCTTCAATTAAATATTAACATTAGACGATAACTAGATAGCGAGAAGCTGTTGAACCTTTTAACGGATTATTGACACGTAGCAAAAGTCTGACACTGTGCATTTGTACCTGGAGTTCTCCCACACTCAAAGAAAATGTAAAAACGTGATGCTTTCGAGGCAAGTCGGGCAGCTAATGAGGACATTTTTTATTTCCCATGGTCTCCAACTGGATTCTGCGAGGGATTTTCTTATAAATAAAGTTGTCAGTGATGAATTAACCATTAGTTACACATTATAAAACCTATCGGTGTCTTATTAGACGTACAAAACTGTGAATAAATAAAGATCTCTAAAGGAAATGATTACCAATAAAGCGCCGGATTTATTCACTCTGGACTTTAAAACGGGTTTAATCTGGTTTTGATGGGACACGTCTTCCACCTGGATCCCAACCAACCAATGATGACTCATGGGGTTTATCTCCACAACATGTGTCTCTTTTATTGTAGTGTTTGTGGAGTTCTAGCATCAGCAAAAATACACGCTGTGGAGTCCAGGGCAAGGTACACACACACACACACACACTCACACACTCCAGGGAGATGACCCTTGGTTGTGTGTGTGCGTGTGTGTTTGTGTACTTTGCCTTCTCACATCTGGTTTTTGCTCTTCAGGGGAGGAAGGTGTTGCATCATTAAAGGTCCCTCCTCTTCCTCCCTCCGAAGTCATTACGGGTTAAAACGGACGTCCTCCTTCCCTTAAGGGGGGCTTTACAGGCCCGAGAGGACATTCCTTCGTCTCCTCGTCCCCTGCTGGGCCGTTGGTTTAACTGCGCGCTACCGACCAACACATCTGTGGAGGCTTTTATTGTGAAGCCTCGCCACTCGCCACTCTTCATCCCCAGAGGATGAATCCTTGTGACTCTGCTGAAGGGATCGTCTCCCTTTGAAGGAAATTTCTGCTGTTTCACCAGAACTTTAAAGACGATCTCTCCTCGCGTTCGTCCTCCGTCGACAGACTTCAATTTGGCTTCACTAAAAGAGGCGGTGACGTAGCAGGCGAACGTTAATCCGAATAAATATGAGAACGTCCGCTTACTGACTCCGGCCCTCGGCCCACTTTGCTTTTTTCCAAATCAGAGTGTCGCGTTTCAGTCGACCCCAAATAACGCACCTGCAGTCGGGCTGCAGAGACAAAGGGCTTCCTGTTGTGTGTGTGTGTGTGTGTGTGTGTGTGCGCGTGTGTGTGTGTGTGTGTGTGCGCGTGCATCACATTGCCGTCTTCCCTCAAACAGAAGACGGCAGAGAGCGAGCACACACCTCCTCTACGTGTGCGTTGTGTGTGGTTCTGCAGAAATGGAACGTCCGTTCAAATGTCATTTAAACCCACAAAATATGTGTTGCTTTTTTTTTAAAGATGCTCCGAGAGCTTAGTGTGTAATTACTCCTCCCAGAAAACTACACCCTCTTTAGCCGTCGGGAGGTTTCCTCCTCTCTCTCTCGTCAATCTGCAGAAAACACGTTTAATACCTCAGTACTTAAATGAACGTAGTTTATTAGTGCGCGAGACGCGACGGGTTTGGGCCCGTGCACACTCACACGTGCACTATTATCCTGGCTCAAAGATGGAAATTCACCCGACTGATGGATGAAAGTGTAAATATTTGTCTTCCCTCCTTGAGTAGGTTCACGGTACGCTGTCAGTGTTTGCATCACACACACACACACACACACACACGCACACAGCAGCCTGAAACCAGCGGCCTTTTAGGGCAGCATGTGGTGGCCGGCGTGTGCTGTGTGTTTATGGAGTTAAGGGGTCGTTTCACTGTGTGTGTGTGTGTGTGTGTGTGTGTGTGTGTGTGTGTGTGTGTGTGTGTGTGGAAAGTCTGTTGGCCTGTAATTGAAGCCACATGTTTGGGTTCGGCCTCCTCCTGTTTCCTCCATCTTGATTTTCCTCTCGTCCGTCTGTCCCTCCTTTTACGTAACAAAATACGCCTGAATGGTAGATTTTCTTTCCTTTCCTCCCCTCCTTTCCTTTCGTATTGTCCTTTCCTCTCCCTCTCCCTTATTTTTTTTCTTCCCTCCTCACCTTTTTATACTTCTTTCATTTTATGCCCCTTTTCCTTCTTTCCTTTCTATTTTATCCTGTAGTCCTTTCTCCTCCCTTTCTACATCCTTTCCTATACTTTTGATTCTCTTTCCTTGTTTCTCACTGCACTGTGTGTGTGTGTGTGTGTGTGTGTCTATGTGTGTGTGTGTGTGTGTGTGTGTGAAATGTGTCCCTGATAAATAACGTTTTCCTTTCTTTCCTGTCCTCGGTAAACCGTTTCAGATGTCACAGTTTGATGTATTTTAAACGGTTTAGTTACTTCTCATTGGCTGAGCACAGACTGCTCTCATATTACCAATTTTCATTGGAAACATTCATCTTCCCTCCCACATGATTACATCAGAACAATGGGTTTGAATGAGGACAGGACTTTTATTTTGTAGTTTCTTTTGTGAATGTCAAACAAATGCCCGTATACATGATGTGTATATATATAAATACACATATGTGTGTATAATATATAAGACAGTGAACAGCATTTTCTTCCTGTCTTTCTGCAGCACTTCTCCGAGCTCCTGGACGATCTCTCCCAGGATGCTTTGCTGGGCCAGCTGCTCAGCGACCCCTTTCTGTCCGGGGGGCGAGGCGGAGCGGAGGCCATGGAGGGCGAGGACGGCGGCGACCTGTCCCCGTCCTCCCCTCTGCCCCCCCACATCACGGCCGAGCACAGCTACTCGCTCTGCGGCGACAGCCGGCCGCAGTCGCCGCTGTCGCACCTAACCGGAGAGCAAGGCAGCGACGCCGGTGAGCCGCATGACCATTACTGCTTATGTAAAGGGAGTCTAGAAGCATTAGACGAGGCATTAAATACACGCGTGTCCTCACGCAGCAGAGTCCGACGGAGACTCCGCCGATTGGCCCATGGAGCAGGAGGACGCCATCGACAGCTTCCTGTGTGAGACTCCTTCCCTCCTCCCCGCCCTCTCCCTCTCTCTGGCCTCCAGCGAGGGGGCCCGGGGGCCCCAGGGCCACGCCGCCGCCCCTCCCGCCCCCCCCGAAGCCGCCGTGTCCCGGGTTCGGGCGGGGGCCGGCGGCCACAACAGGGCAACGGCTTTCAAGGTGAGGCTTCAGGCGGCCGCCGGGATGTTTGTGAAATCGCCGTTTCATGTTTTCCTGAAACTCTTCTTCTGTCACCAGGTAAAAGAGGAGAACGTCATCCCTCAGATTAAGCTGGAGCCTCATGAGGTGGACCAGTTCCTCAATCTTTCACCCAAAGGTGAGGTTCCTCCCCCCTCTGATGCCACGAGGCCCCCTGCTGGCCGCTCGCTGGCGCGGCAGTCCATCGCGACGCCAAACGCGAGGCGTTTTTTAATCGTCCTTTTTTCCCCAACGATGCCGCTTCAGGTCTGGAGCCGCTGCAGATGCCTCCCACTCCTCCCAGCTCCCACGGCAGCGACTCCGAGGGCAGCCAGAGCCCCGTGCACGCCCCCCCGGGCCTGTCCTGCCCCGCCTCCCCCACCAGCCCCGCTCCCTCCCAGGCCGGCCCGAAGGCGTCGCCCCGCGCCGCCTCCTCCCTGTCCAACTCCCCTCTGCTGACCGCCGCCCACGTGAGTAACGGCGCGCGTGCAGCCGACACGTCGCGGCGAACCCCGTCACGCGGGCCGGTCGTTCACGTTGCGTTCCGTGTGCGTAGAAGCTGCAGGGCTCGGGCCCGCTGATGCTGACGGAGGAGGAGCGCCGCACGCTGGTGGCCGAAGGTTACCCCGTCCCCACCAAGCTGCCGCTCACCAAGGCCGAGGAGAAGGCGCTGAAGAAGATCCGCAGGAAGATCAAAAATAAGGTGCCAGTTAATGGGAATCCAGAAAACGGACATAATGTCTGTCTGGAAATATAAAAAAATAAAAAAACCTGAATGAACTAGAAATACAGTGACCGTATTCGCTTCTTCCTCTAAATTAAATCCTCTTTGTGTCAGATTTCGGCTCAAGAGAGTCGCAGGAAGAAGAAAGAGTACATGGACGCTCTGGAGAAGAAGTAAGTGGAGCCTCCTCTTCGTTCTTCATCCCATCAGAGAGACGAGCGACTGAAACCAAAGTGCTTGTAAACGAATCACCGCCCGTCTTTCTCAGCTGGATTCTGGCGCCTTTGTTTGTAAAAAGTCCTCCGATCAAATCGGGATCTGTTCCTTTTTTACTGATTGAACTAAAGAGCCGTTCTGAGTGTGTGAACATCTGGCTGAAGTGATCATTGTCCTCCAGTCACTGACCCTGCAGTACTCCTCTCTGACCACAGGGTGGAGACCTGCTCCAACGAGAACCACGAGCTGCGCAGGAAAGTGGAAACTCTGGAGTCCACCAACAAGTAAGAACTTACTTTAAACAGGACAGATGTCCCACACAACATGTGGCTGATTAGACTCGAGTTGTATTTGATCAAATACTTGATACTTCATCACTTACCTGCTCACATACTTGATTCATTTATCAGAAGAAGAATAAAATAAAAAACATGAAGCCCAAAAGACGCCTGAAGTTCTGAGATAGAATGACGATGTATTATCTTTACTGTCTTTAATCTTAACTTAGATTTAACCTTTTTAGGATTTTACAATCCTTCAAAAAGTATTTGTTAAAACTTTTGATGTATATCATGTCATCGTTGATTTTATTTTGTATTATTGGAAATCTGCAGTAAAGTAACAAAAGCTATCAGATAAATATAGTGGAGTAAAAAGTACATGATGTTCCTCTAATATGTCGTGGTAGTTGTAAGTATTTCTACAGCAGTAATACACAAATACTTCCCTTAGACGCCACTGCTTATTAATACTTTAATAGTATTGATTCAGGTGAATACGGATAGAAAATGTAGATTCTTTACTAAAGATAAAGTTCCGCTCTGAAATACTGTTTTACTGCCTTTAAACTCGGTTCATCAGCTCTGTGTGTGTCCGTGTGCGTTGTGTCTAACGCGTGTGTGTCTGTGTGTGTGTGTGCGTCTTCCTCAGGTCTCTCTTACAGCAGCTGCAGTCTCTGCAGGCGGTGGTGGCCGGTAAAGTCCCCAAATCCTGCAGGATGGCCGGCACCCAGACGTCCTCGTGCCTAATGGTACTACACCGCGCGCACGTGTGTGTGCGTGTGTGTGTGTGTGTGTGTGTGTGTGTGTGTGTGCGCGCTAACTGGAGATTGTTGTGATGAGTCATTGATTAAAATATTGAATTAAAAACATCTGCTTCCATTTGTTAGCTGCTTTATTAGCTGCACTCATTCATAACATATTTACCCCCCCCCCTCCTCTCTGCAGGTGGTCGTGTTGTGTTTCGCTCTGTTTCTGGGGAGTTTCTACCCCGGCGGTTTGAGTCCGTGTTCCAGCATCACTGAAAGCGGCCTCGCTTCCAAACAGCCGCCTGTAGAAGATTCTTACACCACCACAGGTGATGAAACTCTCCATCCCGTGATTTATTCACAGTGTTTACACGCATATTAGCATCTTTATAACGGACTGAATTGCTACACAAGCTGTTGCTTTAATGTTTTGCTTCAATATCATCGTCTTCATTCTTCTGTTCGGTATAATTAAAATACATCACGCAGTCTTGTTGCATTACTGGAAGCCAAGCGGACTCCTGCTGCTGTTTCTATTTGTAACGGAGTTCTCCGGCTGTGAAACGTTGGAGGTCCATAATAACATCGGCGATAATCAGATTCCACCTACAGAGCAGCTGATTACACGAGCTGCCCTTTCACTGCACACACACACACGTATGATAGAGACCAGATATAATTTTCTTGACAATCAAATAATTTTTTCCTTTCTCGTCCTGCACACACACACACACACACACACACACACACACGTGCACAAAACCCTGCACAGACCTTTATTAACGCGTCCAGCACTGTGATTTATTGGTGGCTGATGTGTCGTTTCTCTTTCAGTGAAGTCGAGGAATCTGCTGTCGACCTTCGAGGACGAGCAGCCCCACCTGCTCGGCCTGGGCGGGGAGTACCCCGACCAATGGGAGGAGACCCCGGCCGTCGTCATGGCGGCGTGGCGTCGCTCGGAGCAGCAGAAGGCGTCCGTGGAGCCCGGCGCCGCGGAGGCCCACGCGCCCTTCAGGAACACAAGCGGCGACGCGCAGACGTCCAAAGACCTGCTGCTGGAGCTGCACAGGTACGCCGGGTCGCCGCGCCGACGCCGCCGCGGCCCATCGGTCGATATATTGATCCAGAAACGCGCTGAACTCACCTCTGCTTTGCCTCAGGTCGCTGGAGCAGAGGACGAATGAGAGCAGCAGTAAAGTGTTGGAGCTGGAGCGAAGAGTGAAGGAGACCTCCTGAGATTCACCCCCCGCGATGACCTTTGACCTGCCCCCTGTAGAGCTGGTTCAGTGTCCTGGAGCAAACCTCATACAGTAGTTTCCACTGCTGATTGTTCCATCTCTGCTTAATCAGATACACTGTAATAATAATATTAATAATAATTATAATAATAATATTAATAACGAGGGTGGTTGCCTTAAGTGAAGTTGCACTGAATATTTTTTCAACTTGTTTCTAGCTTGACTCACATTGTGATAAATTTAAATAGATGTGTTGAACAATGCAGCGTGGAATTTATTCCAGTGGAAAGTATATTCAGATATGTGAGGCTTTTTACAGGACATTGACAGAGAACCTTTGTATTTATAGAACCTTTTGTTACTTTATTTTCATAAAATTATTGCTCTTTGTAGTTCATTTATTGTTAAATGTTTTTTTTTTCATTCCAGCTTTCAGCCCATTTTGATACATGTATGTGTTTATAATATATTTTCTTATTTCAATGTTCTCTTTTAAATGTTATATATTCTCTTCAGCTGACTCGGCATTTCACACAATGAGGTTTTAGTTCCTGTGCTCACTTCAAAGAAAAGTTTCTTGGTGTTATAAAGTCGTATTTGAGATGTTTTTAGTTGAGTTGATCAATCAGCTCAAATGTGACATTTAGCATAAAGAAAATACAAAAAAAGTTAGCCCGTTAGCTTAGCATCAAGACTGGAAGCATACGGACATAGATGGGCCTGCTCTGATCATTTCTCACCAGCAACAATGTACCCGTTAACCGCTGAGCTACGGCATATTCCTCAGTGAGCTTTGTAGTTGCAAGGCTAGCTGTTTCCCTCCGTTTCCAGTATTTATGCTAAGCTAAGCTAAGCGGCTGCTCGCCGTCTTCAAATGCGGTCGTGGAAACGTGACACTGGTATCTTCTCATCTAAGCCAAGTATCAAACTTTTCTCTTTGAAATGTGCGCAGGACCTGCGATGCTTTTCACGGTCGTCTCTGCAGTTGCCAAAAAAAAAAAGTATCTATTTTTGTAAATATGGGTTGTGAATAAATAAGCTTTAATGTGAGTGGGACCTGTAGTCTATAAAGCGATAATAATTCATTCAGAGTTTATTTGGGAATTGATGAACGTGAGACGCTTTACGGCGGGTTAATTTAGTTAATCACACAACATGGCTTTAAAAGTCTTATTTGTTTGACAGTGTATTACACTTGTTGTTGTTGTTTTTTATTATTCCTGAGCTTTATTGAAACATGTTTTTTCATGTGTGTTACAGACAGTTCACTTTGTTTTGCAGCCAGGTTGTAAATACAAACATCCCACTTAAAACTACCCAAAGTTATTTAAGTCCAGAAATGTTATTTTGCAAACTGCGGATGAATCAAACTGTGTTCAGAGACTGGAAAACAACATCTGTGTATCCGTGTCTCATATTTCTAAGCTTTGTACATCAATCAGAGATGTTTATCCGTACGTCGCGATGCATCGGCGATGGCCTTTGCTCTGCAGCCACAGCTGAGTCATAAAACGCAAGATTTTAAGTTTATTTACATTTCTCCTCCTGTGGAAAACGAGCCTTCTTCTCCCCAATCAGCTTTAAGTTCCATGTTGCTTCAGTTTGAAAACTCTTCCGTCTCTTTGCAAATGAATATACTTTCTTTAGTAAAAGCATGTTTTGCAAAACTGATTCCAATTGTGTTTGGTCTTTTTTTAGTCCCAGTTTTAGTCGTCTTAAATGAAGTTAAACCCCATTAGGACTGACAAGCCCCCCCCCCCTCCTCCTTCACACGGGGCCTGAAATAGAGCATCGCCTCACTAGAGCTGCAGATCGCTGTGACAGTCTGAGACGATGCGCAGCCCCGCTTCATATTAACAGCCTCACGGTAGCCCGACGGATTCCATCACCGCCATGCGCTTGTGGTGCGTTGTGCTCTGTAATAATACCGATTGCGTTCGCGGCGCGTGATCAGGTGATCAGTAAACAGGTGAAGGGGGCCCCGGGGTCGTATTTCACGGGATCGGAGGAGATTTCACAAGTCGTGTTAAATATGAATGAAAGCTCAGCGGGAGTTTCTGCGTTGTTTTCAGTGTGTGGAAGACTGATCTCATCAGATATTAAAGATGGATTTCACCCGGCTGTCTAAAAACAGTGTGTTTCCCCCCTTGACTCTCAACCCTCTAAGCGCATTTCCTCCAGGAAAAAGTGACAAACTATTTATTCATTTATTTGTCAGGGACAATCAGTTGCACTGTAAGTGAGCCGGAGTTGGCCAGAGAGGCTCATTTCCATCTGCAGTCAGATGTTTTTAACCACTGAACCATTGAGCTATTATAAGAGACGCTAATATAACATTTGACATACTGACACAGAATGATGAGTTAAAGAATTAAATGATATTATTATATTAGATTATAGGCAAAATGTTGATTTACACAAAGTGGAAATTACAAGATAAAATATTTGAATTATTTGAATTCAAAATGTGTTCATTTTAGTCAAAGTTATGGGTTTTGATATGAATATGTTTATTGCCAAACTCATGTCCAAATGCGTCATAATGACAAATGAAGGCAGCTAAACGGAAGTTATTTCACGTCCGGTGGTGCGTTTCCTTAAATGATTTATGGTTAGCCAGATTGCAGCCAGATGCGTCTCTGCTGGAAATAAAAAAGGAGCACAAAGGTCAGAGTTCACTTGAGGTCAGTGTTTTCTTTGTAAACATCGCTCAGTGGAGCAAAGCGACACCGGGAGGCGGACAGATGTGGCCTGATGTTTTTATCAGGAAGCGCTGCGGAGAACGATTCAACACAACGAAAAGCAACGTGAGAACATCATCACCGGAGCGGAGCGGACACGCGCAGCGCGCGACGCAGCATATGGACGGTTGCGCGAGTGATTCATGTGCGAGAGTGATACGCCGAGGAGTTGTGCGTGTGTTCGAGCGTGCACACGCTCACCCGCTGCTCTACTTTGTGACCGATGATGCTGCAGAAAAGAGGAGGAGAGGGAATATCCCACAATGCCACGCTGCTCGTCCCATGGGCCGGACGCGCGCGGATGCACGGAACTCGCGCGCGGATGCTGCAGATAGTTGTAGCCCGCACGCCACTGAACGCGTTAATTGTCCCCGCCTTCACAGCATTTTTTTTTTAAAGTTTCCTCGTCACTTAAAGAAAATCTATAATCGATTTCCGGTGAGGGATGTTAAAGTAAAAGCCCTTCACAGAGACGATAAGCTGCAAATCATGAAAAAGGCCTAGCGTTTTTTCCATGACATAATAATTTTTCCCATGATCATTTTCGACCAAACATATTTGACTTTTGTTCCATTATATTTTTTACATAATATTTCTGGATTTTTTCCCATGACATTTTACGACCAAATATTTCTTGACATTTTTTGACCAAATAGTTTGGATTTTTTTCCATGACATTCTTTGACCAAACTTCTTTTGAATTTTTTTTCATGATATCTTTTGAGGATTTTTTTTAACTACTATTTTTTTAGATTTTATTTTCAGTATATTATCAACCAAATATATTTTTTACTTTTTTGACACTTTCACCCTTATTCTATGACTTTGTTAACTACATTTTTTTGGACTACAGTATTTGACCTAATATTATTGGATTATTTTTTCCATTACATGTTTGACCTCACATAAACAGTCCATGATTATGTCCTGGAAGTCAGAAAGAGTGAAAGGTTTCCAATTTATAGGGCACATTGTGTTTTCAAACATGAGATTCTAGTGTTTTGACATCATGGAAAATCGCTGCTAATTGATTTGAGACAAAATCAAATCAATTATTCATGGTGTCAGCTGGTGGTCAAAAAGATTGTGATCTTTTAAAATGATGTCCACATAATGAATAATAAAATGTATGTGAGGTTCTACAACAAAGTGTTTTATTTATTCATCATGTTCAAAGTGGAATAAAGCCTTCATTCTAAAAATACGCTGGCAATGTGAAGATAATATAAATAACATAGCAGTATATTCAGCTACGCGTTCATGTCAAATTCATATTTTTCCAATATAGCCTTCTTGATCAGTCCAGCAGTCTGCATTATTTTTTGTTCAACCAGTTCTGAAACAGCCCGTATGTGGTTCAACGGCGAGATGTCGGGAGGTGTTTTATTTTGAAGGACTAGACGTGGCACTTCCGGGATAACGCCACTAGCTTGACGTAGCTCGCGTCCAGTCGGTTTGGGGCACAAACGCGGCCAACGGTCCGGAATCACAACGGTCAAAACCGCTCGACCACGTTAACGGCGTCGTCCTTCCCTCCCTGCCCCCTTCCCCCCCCCTCCTAAGACCGACCCCGATTCTCCCCGGTGTCCCCCCCTCTCACCAGCCGGTAGGGAGGAGGGGGGGGTCCACAGCGTGGCCGTGACAGCGTAGAACCGACCGGCATGGACCCCCGAGCGAAGCCTCGAGCCGGCCCGCTGTCGGGGGGCTTCGGCGGGCGTCCGGCCTCCCTGGGAGCCGACGGGGGGGACTCGGAGTCCGGGGCCGGCTCGGAGGAGGCCGGCGTGGGCTTCGGCGACACGTTCAGCAGCCTGCCCGACATGGAGCAGGAGAGCCTGGAGGAGAAGCTGCGAGGGTTGGCGTTCAGAAAGCAGACGTCGTACCGGTGAGAGAGCCGCTGGGGGGGGGGGGGTACTGGCACGGGGTACTGGGACGGGGTACTGGGACGAGATGCTGGGACGGGGTACTGGTCAGAGTGGGATACGGGTTTTGTTTGAACCAGTTCAGCATCGCCGTGAGGATGACGACATGTCAGCCGGCTGAAGCTTATGATAAACACACAAAGAGGGGCAGATTACGTTGGAGGCGCGTTGTTTTATGTGGTTAAAGCTAAATTCACTCGGCATTTGTGACCATTCTGCGCATGCAACAGCGCGCGCGCCTGCCTGCGTGCGTGCGTGCGTGCTGTTGGAGCCCTGTTGTGTTGGAGCATGTTAAGAGGGGGCGGTTTAGTGGCAGCAGAAACAGTATCGATTTGTGGGCATCGCGTGCGTGCGTGCTTGTGTGTGTGTGTGCGTGTGCGTGCGTGTGTAGAGGAGCGTGCACGTGCATGTGAATGCCAGCTGCAGCCTGACACCCTGGTGCGACTGGCAGCTGCTGTTGGTAGTGAAATCTGGCTAGAGACCAAACACGCACACACGAGCACGCACGCAAACAAACACGCACGCACGCACGCGTTTTTGTTGTCAAATGTCAGTCAGGAATGTTTGGCGTTTGACTTTCCGACGGTGTTAGTTTAGGCTTCGTTCACGTCCAGGCCTATGTGAACGAATGTCAATCAAAGCGATCGGCTTTTGGAGGTCAAATCGATCCTTTGTAACTTGTTTGATTTATTTGGCGAAGCTGTGGCCCAACAAAGCATCCGTGTGCCGATGTAATGTCACCAAAATATTATTTTAAATATTTGAGTTCAACGGCGATAAGTTTTCACCCTCCAATCTCAATACATTGAAAAAAAGTCTTCCAAAACACAACAAATTCATGTAATTCAAACTTAGAAACAAGGGACACGGGCAATTAACGGCACAATCAGATTAAAATGCAATATATATTATGTTAAACACATTAAAACAAAATTAGCTGGCCATATTCAATTTAAAAAGAAGGGATGGTACGCCATAATCCTATTACGATCCATTTGACAAATGATCGTTCATTATATTGTTATTATACATTTATTTGGAAGATACAAAGTCTTCTTAAAAGACGCTGCAAAGCAAATGCAACCCGTCGCTCACTGGAACCGTCCTCTGTGGCGTCTTTCTTCCTCTGCCGGTTATTCTGAGAAAACCAAACTAAAACCCGGCGCTACACCAGAGATTTAGCAACGCGCGCATGTCGGGACCGTTTTTTTTCCGACCGTTGTCGTGCGTGCCGGAGAGTTTCTGTGTGTTTTCCTTATTCATCCCACCTAAATTTAGGACACGACGGCGTCGTTCGCCGTGCGTAAACGTGCATATGACTTAAAGTCACATGACTCAGAGTTTCCAGCGCTGAAAGAGGTCTGATGCGTCGTTTGCTGGTCGTTAAAATGCACTCGGTGAAAACAGAAAAAGACCATCTCACTGTTAGCGACAACGCGCTCTCACTTATTTATGACGTTCGTTTCTCCTCCGCACAGCGTGCCTGTTGTCCGGGCTGGATGAACGCAGTCTGGTGTCTGTGATCACATCCGGTCCTGGTGCTGCTTTGACCTTTGACCTCGGGAACATGCCCGTGGCTGGGATCAGGGGAGAGCGTCGGCGTGAAGCTAGTTTACATAGCTTTGAAGTGACCAGTGGCGAGGGCGGAATTACCATACGAGGCGATATGAAAGGGCCGAGAAAGGCCGACGCTCGACATAAAAGCGGAAACGTGCGCGTGTGTTCTGCCGCGGCGCGCGCGTAACTTATCGTGCAGACACACTTTGCCTGCGTGTGCTCTCAGACCGCCGGCCCTCCTTTTATCTATTCTTAGATCGGCCTGCATGGCGGTCAGAGAGAGTGTGTGTGTGTGTGTGTGTGTTACACGCCAACCAGTTAGTCAGCACGCCGCGTTTGTGTCCGTGGCAGTCAGCAGTTCTTTGGACCATCCGACTGGCGTCTCCAGCGTCCCCAGCGTGCATCCAGACGTCCGCGTTCTGCTCCGTCCGTCGGTCCAAACAACAACAAACAAACAAAGAGCAGCACAGCATTCGCAGAGCGAAGCTGCTGCGGCTAAAACATTTCCCACATTAATGCGTGAGAATTGAGTGAAATGATCGATGCGATCGATTGGTCATTCATTCTAGACTTTATTGGCTTCTGTTTAGTAGACGCTGAATCCAGCCCCAGTGGCCGACCGCTGAGCCGCACCGACTCACGGCAGTGATGACATGTATTCATCTGCAAGATATTAAATCGTTGTGATATTAAATGCAATAAAAGGCAAAGCTTTTTCATGTTACATAATTATAAACGTCGACCTCATGATATTTGATATAAAATTACCACTCGTGCTTGGAATCCGATCCTGTAAATAACAGTAATATGAAGTAACACAACCATTGTGAGCACATTACCAGCCCCCCCCCCCCATGGCAGGATAACTGCCCCTGAGCGCGCCAACCTGCCCCGTTTGCCCAAAAGGGGACCTTAAAACGCTTTGTTTTGACAGGCAGCCTGCCGCGTGGTGACGTTTCTGCTGCAGAAACAAACTGCCCCCAGGCCGCTGACGTTGTGATACAGATGCGTTTGTACTCCATGAAAGTTTACCAGAACGTTCCCCATTTATGCCTAAAAGCTTATTGGTGCAAAGAAAAACATGAAACAAAAAGCACAGCAGCTTGAGTCTTTTTGTTCCACTTCATCCGCGTTCTTCCCCGCGGGGTTCTTAAAGGAACCCAAAGAGAGACGTTGGGATGGTGAGACCTCTGCTCTGCCTCAGCCGCCTAATAGGCCCCAGACTTTGTTTTTAGGATGTAATAAGTTTGGTGATCCGCTGCTTAAATCTCTCCAGGAGAATAACAGACTAAATGTGTCGGTAAGTGGCTCAAAGGGCTCTTGGCGCTCGGCGATTAACTGCCGCCCCCCCCCTCCCGGGGGCTGAAGGGGGATCTGAACCTACGAACTCAACGAGAGCTTCCACCTGAGCAGCACCTCTGCACTCGGCCCTGGAGCTCCGCGTCACTTTGGCGCCGCGGCCGGGCCGCTTAAAGACACTCATGAATCTTTAAGCGGACGATCGGCGATCACCAATTGTTGGTGAAACACAAGGCTCAGTGACACAATCCCCCCCCCCCAATAAAGACAAAACGGGTCGACTGATGCATATATTCAAACATTGCGCTGCTGTAGAAAGCTGCCGTGGGCCTTCCGGTCTCAGCTGTTCCTGTCATTGGATCACCGTGTTTCAGTGAAGCGGCTACGCGAGTTCCGACTATTTGCTCTTGAGGAATGACCTAAACCCATAACAGGCAAAGCAGCTCCTCTGCTCTCCGCGTGTGTTTGTGCACGTCAATCATCTTCTGCTCAGAAGGGGGATCACGGTGTCTTGTTTTAGGGAACAGAAGTGAGATTTCTGCCCTCTCGCTCTGTCTCCCAGCCTTTTCTGGAGTGTTTGAGAGCCTGTGTGTGTGTGTGTGTGTGTGTGTGTGCGTGCGCGGCGCCGGGGTTTAGTAATGTAGTGTGCCGAGGCATTACGGGGGATTGGCTGTCAGGAGCCGCTCCTTATTAGTCGTCTGGCTGCCTGAAAGAGGCTCGTCCCGCTTTTGAGACGGAGCTAAGAGAAAATGAAAGAATAGAGCGGTGAGGAGAAAAGAGAAGTGGATCTGCAGCACAGAGGAAGAGGAACCCCGATGAAGAGAAAGACATTGGTCAAGTGCTTCCTCCTCCATCACACACTCGAACAATTGTGCGAGGAGGGTTTTTTTTTTCTTCCCGTGAGGCTTTAACTGGTCCGCGAGGAACCGTCGCTGCAAAAGGAGCCTCTCTTGTGTGGAGACAAAGAGCTGAAGTGTCCTTCTTTGGACTACGAGCAAACCGGCCTCCACACGAGCGCCGCTCCGTGGCTCTAAGCGTTCCTCCCCTTTACGTGTCTGTTTACCTTCCTCACGGCGGGGAGACGCAACTTTAGCCCGGACGCAAGGCAGAGACGTGTCCAATGCACACAGTCCACGTGTCTCTGTCCAAACCATCGATGGCGTTGATTGATTAGTATTAGTTGGTGTATGAATACTTTCTTTTGTCCTCCCGATGGACGTTGGCTTGTGTCGTGTAACCATTCAATCGGAGCTCGCCGCGCACGCCGTACACGCCGCCTGTGTGCGGACAGACAGACAGGCAGACAGACGGACAGACAGACAGGCGGCTGAGTGATTGATTGACTCTCTGAGCGGGCCGGAGGCCCCCGGATCACTGCCATAGTGGGCCGGAGGGCCCAGCTGACCGAGACGCGGGGGGCCGACCTGTCACTCGTCCACTCAGATGAAGGCAAGACACATCGCGGCGTATGCGAGGGATCCTCCATTGCGAGCGAGAGTCCTGCTTCAAAGACTAAGAGAAGCTTTTCATTTTGGAAATATGTTTTATTGGTGGAACACGTTTAACCTCCGAGGTCTAATTTGTGTTATTCTTTATCTTCTTGCCAGATGGATTCCCACGCTGAAGGACAAAGGGGCTTTTTATTTTTAGATGTTTATTCGTTTTATTGTCGGGTATTATCAGAGAGAGAGAGAGAGAGAGACTGTTAACATCTGTTAATATGTGCACATACATGTACATTAGCGTGATTGTGACCATGTATGTGCTGCGTGGGTTGAACGCAGCTTTTTGGGAAGGATTACTGATCATCTCTCTGCTCTCAGAAAGATGAGTCCCCACTCTACCTACACACACACACACACACACACACACACACACACTCACACACACACACTCACACACACACACACTCACACACACACACACACACACACTCACACTCACACTCACACACTCTATAATGAAGCTCTATACTTAAACACTTGGTTTTTAGCTTGTTCTTTTCTCTGCAATTAACCTCTGCTGATTTCTGACACGCACTATTTTATCCCACACACACACACACACACACACACACACATGGCTGGTTTTGGATTTGTCAAACACG